GTCAAAGAGACAAGTGAAGACAATCCCTTGACCAACTTTCTGTCGAGACGGTTATGCTATCACTCCTCGTTCTGTCCTGATCCCTCTATTCATTTCCTATCCTCCAGTCTCACCTTAATTCTATCAAGACTTCTGGCATTTTTATATTCCACAAGAAATGTACCCTTTTGGCGAATAAACCGTGACGTATTCACACCTGCTGTTTACCTTGCTCCACTCCCTTTCGAGTGGCTGGTCCGACTCGAGTCTCCTGTCCGGATCTTCCTCATGGGCCCGTAGGTCCATTGCTCGCTTCCAGTCTCTGTACTTTCATTGGGGAGACTTTAATTTCGTATGAACGTGCATGAAGAAGATGACTTTTACAGGAACGAGACCCAGCTCTAATGAGGCCCATCACATCATGGGCGAGGGCTCGGCCCGTTTTCACCCGAAACGAGGGATGAAGTGTCGTGGACAGCGTCAACCTGAACGTGGTATAAGAACCAAACGGATGCAGTACACCGGGATTCTTCAGTCCTCTTCTGACGAGATCGACCGACGAATCCATGCACTTACATGCGAAATTAAAGTCTCCCCAACAAGGCTATCTCAGGAGATTCGTCGAAACCCACTTTCTCTTCGTGTCTGTACTTTTATTTCGGGCGCTATTTCTCAAGCCTTCAGTGGCACGTGCAAAGTCGCCTCATGCGCAGATCGTCTAGGCTCTGATTCTCATGCTTGCGGATATTAGGCAGCACCTTGACGCATCATCTTGCTTAAACCCGTGTACTCTGAGCAAACTGTGGGCCTCCATTTCTGGTCACCTGCTGCATCTCGAGTGGATTATTAGTCAATTCGGTCACAATGCCAGATTTATGTGACCCAATCCTTCGCCCTAGTCACGTGAAACGTCAAGCCTTCAAAGTTATCGTTGTTTATTCCAGCTGACTACAGTCAATGAGAACGTCTTCGCTTCACTTTCGAAACTTCCTCACTCTCTACTTCCTTTCCTCTGGCTTACGAAATATCCGCTGATTTTTATCCCTGGTTCGCCAATATATTTCTGTTTACAGACACCGCATGCTATGCCACAAACTCTCGAGCAATCCAATTTTTTCAACCCTCTCGTGTTGCGTGGATAGAGTTGTAAAGAATGTTGTTTTTTCCTTCGTGGTCACCTGAATATTCCGTTTTCTTAGGATTGGCCGTAGTTTTTGAGCTAGTTATTGTGAGGTTTTCCTCATCTTGATCTTTCTTTCACAATCGGCTATTCATTGCCAGTGTGTTTCTTTGTAATACTTCTCTCGGGTATCCATTACAGAGGAATATCCAAGTTAGTTTTTCCTATTCTTCACTCCCGAATTCCACGTCCGTTAATCGTAGGCTTCTGATGATCATGCTCTCAAACATTCCTATCTTGATCCTGTAGTTGTGATGGCACTCGAAGTTGAGTATTATTTCGGCATATGACATCTTTCGGAATAATTTCCTCGTGTTCCAGTAGACCGAATTACCTCCACATTTATAAAAGCCAAACGTTCCTCTTCCTCTACAGCCATGGTAACCATGATTCTTTCATCAATCCGGTTCATAAACTTAGAAAATCTGTCAATTCTTCTCTTCTATGCGACAATATTGCAAAGTAGTCATCAAGGTACCGCATAAGAAACGGTGAAGTCTTGACATTCTCTTCTAATTTGTTCATGTATACATTTGCCAATAGAGGTGAGAAAGATGGAAAAGGCATTGTTAATCATAACTTTGTCTATTGCCCTGCCAAACTCTGAGAAAAAAGAGATGTAACAAGACAAGCAAAAGAAGACGCCTCGATTAAGGATGTATGGCAAACAAGAAGAAAAAAGGGATCGTAAGGAAGTTTTGGAAATGAAGCGAATAAACAACTATATCTTTGGAGATATGAAGACCAAGATGTTGTGGCCTCTGGTATGATCGCAGTTTCCTTGCGATTTATAGAAGTTGATTGACCTCGTTGTCGCAACTTGGTCTTGTTGTCAGGGCGACTTAGTAAAACGCACCTGGTCCAAAGTTGTCATGATTTCCAGCATCAGACAGTGGACTTGGTACATTCTCAAACGTTTCGCCGGCATCGTAGT